ACCACTTCCATCGCACCAGACTTCGTTGCAGCAAAGGCAGCTAGTTCCTCTCCGGAAGCAGCTAGTGCTCCTCGCTGTGAAATGCGCCGCAGCTCTTCGTCTGGACTCGTGGTGCGCATCTCGGCGGCACCACCAGGAGACCGGTGGAACAAGGCAGGGGCAGCGCCAATGTCAGGGGAATCATGTTGTCCGCATTTATTTGGCTTTCCGGAGGACGAGGAAAAAGAAGGCGTTGCTGCGTCGTAACCCACCTGAACTTTTGCACCAGCCTTATCGACGTCAAAACCTTCAACTCGCAAAGAGCTTCCACTTGGAGCTTCCTGTCCCTCGACTGGAAGAACAAACTCTTCCTCCAGCAGCTTCCAATCCGCGATAAAGCTGCCAGAGCTTGTAGCTCTACTTGTCCTTCTAGTACCGCGGCCGAGCAACCTTCCCAGAGCGCACACGCCCCTGACAAAGTTTTCGCCCGAGCTGTAGGCGTATCAAATGTAAAAATGTCTGGGTCTGGTGGAAGATTGCCAGGTTTGTCATGCACATTTTGCATGACTCCTGATGTCTGTGATGCATGCCCTAGCGTCACAGATTTTGATTTTCATTAATTTTTTATATATTCTCAATCGATAAAGAGCTAAGTTCGCCCGAGCTGACACACGACTCGGTGTGCACCTGGTCGATGACCTCGCGCTGGGGTCTAGCACTGGCGCGTTCGTAGCGCGAACACAAATTCCGCTCTAAATGCGGGTCGCGCACTAGAGGCGCACCTACGAGCTGCGAGAAGAGGGCAGCTGCGAGCTGCTCTGCGCTTTCGCGACGCGCACAAAATTGCTCGTAGGGAGCTGTTTTGGGTAGGACGTGCGTGCGCACGAGGTGATTTTGTATCAGTAACGCGCACAAGTGTTAGACCATGTCGAGGTCGGGAGAGTCGCGAGAGAGCTCAAGCAAACATCTTCATCAAAACTAAGTGAGAGGGGGCCCGGCGTTCACCGGCGGCCCGCCCTCAACATCGCTGCCCCCGCCGCTGGTGGCCGGCGGGGGGTCTTCGGAATCGGAGTCACTTTCGCCATCGCGGGCGAGCGGGAGGAAGGTGTTCTGGACCGCGATCGCTTCGGTGCGCCGCTGGTCCCTGTATTCCTGAATTGCGGACGAAGACCAGTCCCCCAGCGACAGCAGCTGGGTCGCGTTTGGGTTAATCGACTCCATAGTTTGCAGCGCCCCCCGGCGGAGGGATTGAGTACCGGGCTTGCCATGGGCCTGAAGGCCGAGACTCACAAAGGCCTCCCGGAGATGCTGCAGCGTGCCGACATAGCTGCAGTTCGGGAAGAGGCGCGCACCTGGTGCGACGCTTTGTACAAATTTGCCGAGCACGTGGACGGGGCAATAGTCCGAAAAAACATCGAAGCCTCCACAGAAGCAACCCCGGGAAAGCTTCACGCCCCTCTGCTCCTGCTTCCTGGAGGCCAGGATAATCTCCAGGGCGTCATCGCGGACAATGACGGCGGAATGCTTTCCGGCGGTGCGAACATCCTGGGGCCTCGGCCTAGACATCGCTTGAATCTCTTCCGTCGCCCGCTCCAGGGGGACGCACTCATTCTGCACCCGCATGAGGAAGCAGTACCCCGTGGCGAGCAGCATCGCCTGCTCCGTTTTTTCCTCCTTCTCTGCGGCGCTCAAGATGAGCGACAGGTGCGGGCCGAGTATCGCGACCGCCTTCTTCTGCAGCGGCTGCTGCTTCTTGATCCCCTGGATCAGCGTGCTAATTTCCAACTCCTCGAAGGGGGCGAAGGAGAAGGGTGCCCGGATGACCACGCAGGCCTTTTTCAAGGCAGCCAGCCACTGAGTGGCGGACTCACTGGTATTAGCCAGCGAAAGGAACCGCCGGACCTCCGCGAACTGGATAGGGAAGGCCGCGATGTTTCGCGCCTTGCAAAATTTTTCCCAATTCCGAAGCGCGGACGAGTAGCCGACGCGCGATGAGGCCGCCAAAGAGTTCACCACTAATTTGTCGGCCCTGTCGTCCAACAGCGCGGCTTGCGCCGCTTTGCTCTCGCCGTTGAGGGTCCGTAACTTCTTGGCCAATGTAGTGCGTTCATGAAGTGGGTTCACTTCTTCATCGCAATCGCCCCCAGCGTCGAAGAGCCGGATTGCTTCGTCCACGCTCCAGCTCAACTCAGTCCGAGCGGAATCTGTAAAACAATTGATTGCGAAGGGGTTGCAAGCATCTGTATCAAAAGTACGGGCGGGCGGGCGTGGCGCGAATACGCATGACATGCGTAGTGTAAGTGCGACAAGTGCAGCGCTTGCTGCCTTGCGCATGTGCGTGCGCGCGCGACTCTTCGCGCCTGCGCACGCTCTAAAGGCGATCGATTTCGCGACCAAAATTAACCATAATTTAACAAGTGAAACGAACATTAGTTTTTTATTCTCAATCGATAAAGAGCTAAGTTCGCCCGAGCTGACACACGACTCGGTGTGCACCTGGTCGATGGCCTCGCGCTGAGGTCTAGCACTGGCGCGTTCGTAGCGCGAACACAAATTCCGCTCTAAATGCGGGTCGCGCACTAGAGGAGCACCTACGAGCTGCGAGAAGAAGGCAGCTGCGAGCTGCTCTGCGCTTTCACGACGCGCACAAAATTGCTCGTAGGGAGCTGTTTTGGGTAGGACGTGCGTGCGCACGAGGTGATTTTGTATCATTCCCGGTCGCCGCATATCACAATACCCAATCGCCGAGTGCGTCGACCGTCTAAGGTGCTGCCCGGCCCAGCCACCATATT